GTTTTCCATTGATTAAAATTTGTGACAGAAATATATTTACTTGATTCTGGAATAAATATTTCATTGAAAAATTTCAAAATCGACAACAGTTTCGTTCGACCCTGTGCATCGCACGGGTCAAAATACTAGTTTAATAAAAACGTGTGTAAAAAAAGTAACGAATGGAAATTTAATTTAATTTAGTTACCGTAATTGAGTAATTACTCAATTAATATTACCGTGAATATAAAATTAGTGTAATTGTGATCAACATATAACTGTGTAATTTAAAATAACCGTGTATTAAAAACGTATAAAAAAGGTATAAAAACCGTGTATAAAAAAGGTAACGAATGCTCAACCAAAAATGGTAATTTAATATAACCGTGTAATTAAAATGGTAACGAATGGTAATTTAATATAACCATTCGTATAAATGAGAATGTATAACAGAAAAGGTATTTAAAGATGTATGGAGTAATTACCATAATAAACTTTAGTTGTATTTACTTAAAATTCCAGAGAAAGGAATTGTATGTTACCATAAACTTTAATTGTAATTACCACAATTTCCTTTCGTTACCGTAATATATTACCGTAATAAACCATAATTGTATGTAATTATAATTACCATTACCATAAAAAACTTTAATTCTTCGTGAAAATTCTGGATAGTATAAATACGCTACCTTACCGTGCCAGAAAATTAAACGAGTGTTCAGAAAACGAGAGTTTTAGAGAGTTTTAATTAATCGGTGCTCCACCTTTGTTTTTGGCCGAACATGGGAATGATTACCGCCCTAAAAAATGTTCATGAAAATTCCGGGTTGTTGATGATGAAGCTAAGAGCAATTAGAGTTTACCACGTTCCTGCTCATTCTCGAGGGCCGGAATCATTGGATGTTGTTTTCCACGACTCAGAGGTTAGTTCTACATTGTTTTGTATTTTACATATAATAGATCTTTAAACAAAAAATATAAATTTAATGATAGATTAATGTTTTATATTTGTTGTTAGGGCGATCGGATCCATGCTCAGATCAAAGATACTAATATAAGCACATTCAAACAAGCTTTACAAGAAAATGCGGTTTACTTAATCATGAGGGTCAAGGTTTTACGCAATTTCCAAGGCACAAAAACTACCAATCACCCTTGCATGCTCCAATTTTTGGGAAAGACCAAGATTCAAAAACTAACAGAAAATGGATTTCCTAATTTTCGATTCTACTTTAAGAGTTTTGAAGATGTACTCAAAACAAAGTTTGCTGACCAAGTCTTTTTAGTTGGTAAGAGTTATTTACATTTACATAACTTAAATACTTACACATATGAAATTCATTTCATGTGTTATGATTATGAAATTTATAAAATTGTATATTTATGGATTTTCAGATATAATCGGGAAAGTAGTTAGTCGAACTGCGCCCGAAACCCGTATGGTTAATAATGCCTTGAAGCAAATGATGGAAGTTACCTTGGAGAACCACAAGTGACTTTTTAATAACCAAATTCATTTTAATTAAAAAAATATTATACTTTGAAAAAATTACTAAATAACTAATTGCATGATACGTTATTTTATGGTTAGCTAATTACTAAAAAATTGCGACACATATTATATTTAAAAATAATTATAACTTTTTTTTGTAGTGGCATTCGGTTGAATTGTACGTTATGGGGAAATCACGTCAATGTTTTCATTGATGGATTGAGTGCATCGGAATCGACCCTTCCAATTTTGGTGTTGCAGATGGTGAAACCTAAGTTCTACTATGGTATATATTCATAAATTAATTCAAATTAATTTTGAAAGACATGTACCCAATGATTTAATTCTAATTGTATTTTTTTTCAAATCATTTAGAGCAAGTGTCTGTTACAACATTTTACTATGTGAGCAAGGTTTTACTCAATGATGAGTGTGATGAAGTTAATGCTTGGAGAGAAAAGTAAGTCCATATGTATTCTTGCAGATTTTTTATTTCTAAAAATATAATCAACGTGTTGTTTAAATTTTTAACAATTGTAATCATGCAGGTTAATGTCAAGTGGCTATCATTTAACCTAGAGTTGTAGTATCGTCTCAACACAATCAAGATCAAGAGATGATAAAAGAACGAGAAACTTGAAAGTGGTCTCCATTCATGAACTAAAAAACATGAGCAATGTAAGATATATTTCTTTACATGTTAGAAAAAAATTAAGTTACTTTTCACCTTAAATATATTGCATATTCATCTATGGTAATAGACTTATTTCATGTATTCCACAAAGAGTATTTTTTAAATTATTGAATCATATATAATTTAAAGAGTATACACGGGATTTACTAATTAAATTAGTAAACAGTTAATAATTTAGGAAATAATATATATATTTATGGAAATACATGTTCATTTTTTTGAATAATTTTAATTTAGTTTTAATACCCGAGTAATAAAAAGTAAATTTATTAATGATAAGAGTTTAAGTGAGAATTAGGCTTTAATTTTATTTTCTTTCCTAAATCATTCACTATTTGCAAATTACGTTAGTTTATAAATTGTGAAAACAACACTCCTACAAAGACTACAAATAATGTAGTCTATAAAGAAGTCTTTCGAAATTTGTAAAACATTGATGTTTTGTACTTTCAAATAATATAATCTCTATATTCTATTGCATCTCATTTTTTATCATTGAAAAATGATCTGAATTTAATAACATAAAAATGACCCGTGCAACGCACGGGTGTGATACTAGTATGACGCCACACACCATTGCCCCTTCATAAGTGAAAATTGAAAGTGTAAGGAATAAGTCCATTAAATACTTCTTTTCGTCTTAAATTAAAATATTTGTTTAATATTTATAAAGTTAAATTTTATTAATTTTTTTTTATTTTCATTACTAATTTGATAAAATAATATAGTTATGTCACCATTAGTTTTGTAGATTGTTTGATGTCATTTTAAATTATGAATTTTTTATTTTTAATTTTATACAATTTCTTACATAAAATGATTTGAAAATATAAACATATCATACATTATATTTTTTTTGAAGCAATATCCTACATTATAATTGATTTAATAGTATTGAAAAAAGTTTTACTCGGTATAAATTACTCTTAAGATTGAAGACCATTAATAACCAAATCAATATATCTCTATACCAAATTTCCTATCCCACTCTTCTATCGCATATATAGTTCAAGCATTGCCACATGTCTTTTTTTCCTTTTTTCTTTTTTTTCTTTTTTCTTTTGTTTTTCTTCCATGCTCGGTAATTCAATAATCACCCCCCACCCACTCCGATCCCACCCCTATTCAATATTAAAGAGTATTTAATTATTAACACATCTAAGTATAAAAAATGGAAAAATTATTTTAAATAATTTCACTTTTTTGTTTTAATTTCCAAAAAATAATTCTACTTTCCAGTGTCACAGAAAATAATCTTAAATCATCCACCTAACGGTTACTTAAAAAAACTTTTGAAAAAAATGCTTGTTAGAGATTTGTCTCAAATAGTCCTAATTTATATTTTTAATTAAAACATGACAGTACACTCTTATTAGAGATTTGTCTCAAATTGTTTTTAAATATAACAATTCACAAATTCCTTCAAAAAAAATCACAAATTTTGTATTCTATTTTGAATAAAATATAATAGTGGATTATCCAAAAATAATTCAGAGTATCGTTCGAGAAAGAAATCGCAATACAAAAAAATTGTAGTGAGTTTTAAAAATAATTAGTATTGATTTGGAGAAAAAAATGTTGTGCCATTTTAATAACTTTTGAATTGTTATTTTGGAGAAAATTCTGTATTGAATTATTGAAAAGAATCACAAGTTTTGTAGTGTCATTTTGAAAAAAATAATACTCCGTACTAAGCATTTTGGATTATTATAACAATTTGTAAAAATTTGTGTTGTAAAATAATCCTACCTCTATAAAATTAGAGCTTTGAAAAATGCAAAAAGTTAAGAGGTAGAAAATAAAAGAACAAAGCTCGAGTTGCATTTGGAATATAATTTTAATTATTTGATGGTTTATAGTTATTTAATTATTATAACGAAATAATATGGAGTAGTAATAATTGCAATAAGCTAGAATAATATAAAAAATCACATGAATAATTTTTAAATCAAACAGTTCTTTAAAAAAATAAAGACATAAAAAGTATTTTGCTACAAATGAAATTAGAGCTTTTTTATTTTATGTTCTATTTCTTAATTAATGCTTTTCAATGTAAATATTAAATATTATTAAAATATTAACACAAACAAATGTAAAAAATAAAATTATACTCCAAATGAAATAAAAGCTTTTTTTATTTTTATTTCTAACTATGGAACTCTAATACTTTTCAACCTAAATATTATTCTTATTTCATTTATTATTATTTGAAACAAAGCTTTAATTTCATTTGGACTATAAAACTGGAATATATTTTATGTGTTCTTTTTTTTTAATTTGTTTGTGTTTACAATTGAATAGGAGCGGGAGGAGGTTGGATTAGGGAGCGTTGGAGCAAAACAAAAAAAGAAAAGAAAAGGAGAAAATTAAAATAGACATGTGGCACTGCTATAACTATGGGATAGGAGAGTGGGATAGAAAAGTGGGATAAAGCTATGGATTATGCTATGTGTACCCCAAGGTTTGTACCCAATTTGTACTCCACAATTTTGCACCAACACTTTATGTTGGTGTAAAACTAATTTTTGTTAAACGCACCAACATTTGTGTCCGTGTGAATTTTTATTAACGCACCAACACTTGTGTCGGTGTAAACCATCGAAATGTTTGTGCAAATCTGTGGTGTACAAATGGGGTATATTTTTTGGTGTAAGTGTAGCATGGTCCTAAAGCTATTTGTACCCCAAACTTTTGTACTACACCGCAGGTTTGCACCGACATTTTGTGTTAGAGTAAAACTAATTTTTGTTAACGCACCAACACTTTGTGTCCGTGTAAATTTTTGTTAACGCATCAATACTTGTGTCAGTATAAACCATCAAAAAATTTGTGTATAACTACGGAGTACAATTTTAGGTGTAAGTGTAGCATGGCCCAGAAAAGTTTCCCAAAAAATAATCAAAGCAGTAAAATAAAATATTGGACCCACGGGCTAAGGGATAGTGGTTAAATGGGGGAAAGGATAAGTTTAGAAGGAAGAGCAAAACCTAATCTAAAAAATAAAAAATAAAAAACCCAGTGTAGAAGAGAGATGGGGGTTACGAAAGAGGAGGTTGAAGATTTGCTGGTTAGAGAGCTTCGTCCCGCACATCTGGTATATAGCTCTCTCTTTTAGCTACCTGTTTATAGGCATATGTAAGTGTGCCCTGTGCAGGAAACTCTTCGAACTTCTCTCACGAACTAGCGGATAATCTTGAGTTGCTTTCTAGGAGATTTAGTTGATCCTAACAAATAGCTCGAGTATTTGATAATAACCCATCAATAAAATGTTTGTTTTGGAAGCATGTTATCACAATTTATGGTCTGTTTGCTCTAAATGAGAGACTCTGATGATATAATTCAGAAGACATGATTTGAATCTAGAACTTTTACTTTCTCTTTATAGATGAGTCTGCTATAATTTACATGTAGATGAAACCCTAGATGAATGTTTCATTGGTCTCTGGCTCAATTGCTGTCATAATTTTTGGGTTCTAATTAATTGTTCAATTAAAGGTTAAGTTTAGAACTTATTAATGATTCCCTGCTTCAATCTCTACTCTCTCTCTTTTTCAAATCATTTGGAGAGTTCCCATGTTCAATTTTTTTTGGTTCACTTAAAATATGTTTGGTTCAAGGAATTTGAAAGGGAAAAGAAAAGAAAATGAGATGGAAAATAATTTTTCTTGTTTGCTTAGAGAGAAAAAGAGAAGAAAAGGAGAGAAAAGAAAATGAGAAGACAAATATTACTAAGAGAAGGGAAAACCGAATTCCTCCCATTTTGCTGAGGGAAATGAGAGAAACCCATTCTCTTTCCTTTTCCTTCCAAATTCCCTGAACCAAACATAGTCTTAGCGTCTTACTTTACTCCCTAGATGTCGCATTGCACCTTAGAATATTGCTCTAGTTTAATACTATGATCTTAAAAGAAAGATTAATAAAAGGTACAAAGAGGGGTGGGTGTGGGGGGAGGCAAAATGTGTGAATGTGGCATCATTACCAGATTGGAGATATGTATTTAATCTGCTGCACTTGGAGAAGGTTACCTTCTTGCAGCTCATCATTCCTGTTGAGCTCACTCTCCATGCCATTAATAATATTAATAATTGGTACAGAGAAGGGGGTGGGGGAGTAGAGGATTGTAAATCGTGGACCATAACTTGTAAGTTGCGTAGGATCGTAGAATAGTTTTAATGTTTAAAATTTATAACACGAACATCATTTAAAAAATAAAAAGCCATAAATCATAATCATAGCATCCAAATGAATAGAAATAGTCATAAGTTCATAACATCCAAATAAAAACAACTTCAAAAGTTCAAAAAAAGAATTGCAAAACATTGAGCATAACAATTATTCTTCAAATCTTCATCAAACATAATCTTCAGTAGTAAGTCATCAATTCATCATCCATAACATGTCAACATGTCAACATGTTCATCATTGACATGAACACAACCTCAAATTTATCACGTGATTCATAGCCAATACCACCACTAGTTTCAACTTGAAGTATTTCTTCATCCGGGACATCCAAATGTGAACATCCATCATTTTCTGTTGCAATCTAATTGACATCAAAATCAAGGTCGTCAATATTTTAATCTTTTCCACGCCAGTTTCACTTTTTTGTTTGCTAATTTTGAATTAGCCATTACAAAAACAATGTCATTCATGGTCTTTTGCTTCAAGCAATTCCTTTTTTTGGCATGTATCATTGCAAACACGCTCTAGAACTGCATGTCAAACTCAATACTTGAATGAAAAAATTTTGTAGTTTTGGATGCGCATAACCATATGATACCCCCAGGATTGAGGCAAAGCTTGGGTTTAAGTGCTTGCTTTGCTATTGAACTACCAGAAAAAAAAAACTTTTTTTTGGCTTTGCAATCCTCAAAATGAGCATAAATCTCAGCCTGTTCTCTAATATCTTCACCAACCTTTGTAAACAACCATATAGTTTCTTAAGCTTAATGCCAGCTTTGAAATTGGGACTACAATGCATAATTTTGCAAAGGCCTATGCATTTGGTTATTCCACCTTTCATGAATGATGTCCCACAATTTATATTAATAAAAAACAATTTATCAAATTATTAAGTGATGGACTTTAGTCCACTGGGCTGTCATGAATTTATGGAAAATATTACTGAGATAAATCGTAAATAAGGGAAAGATGATGCTGTAAGAAATTAAGAATGCTTCTGAATATTTAGAATTCGACCTCTTTCCATGGCTTAGAAAAGGTGTATTTATAGAGTCCAGGAAGCAATTACAATTCACTTTTCCATGAGAGAGTCATGGATCGTCGATGATGACAAGCAAAAGCCTCACTACACCTAACTTTAGCACCTATCTTGCTTGCCACTCTAGCGGATTTGGACCTTACCTTCGGGTTGGGTTAGTTTGGGTCATATCACTTGGGTTCTTCACCTCGTCAGGTTTTGCGGGTTTTTGTGGTCCGGGCCTGAATAATGATAAGATTAAGCAATTAAACTGGATATATTGGGATTTGATCATTAATACATTTTTTTTCCAATTCTAATATACCAAGAACCCCCCCCCCCCCACACACACACTTTTTCTTTTGTGCTGGCTTAATCAAAAGAGGCAAGGCAATATAAGAAATTACGATTAAGAGCGGGAGGGAACATTGAACTTCAAACTGACAAGATGCTGTGCACGTGGGGCGTTTGAGGTGGCTTTGCAAATTCCCTAGGAAATACATCATCATAGCATCTCTCATCATTCCCAGCATCAATGTGGTCTTGGAACTTTAAAGAAGTGCAATTTCATATTTCTAGTCCTGTAAGCTTCTTCGGATTGGAAATAAACTGACAGCCTTGTTCTTTTCTTTTCAGGAAGTTATTGACAAATCTGGAGGGTACGCGAATGCTTGTCTACTATAAATATATGGAGTACACACCACCTTAGATGCCATACACACGCACACTGTTTTTTTGCCCTCATTTTCACAAATATCCATCTTGTCTGTACACATAGACGACAAGACATCAAATGGATGTTGTGAGAATTGTATTTGTGTGGTGTAGAGAAGCATTTCCCAAAATATATATCAATTTTGTCTATTTGTGTATCTCAGTAGCTGACATGTTATTTTTGCTATAGATGTGGTGCATGCTTCCAGATTGAGATTGTTTCACAACAGTTTGAAGGCAAAAGATTGCTGGAAAGGCACAGGATGGTTAATGCTGCACTCGGGGAAAAAATGAAAGAAATCCATGCTCTCTCCATAACGAAAGCTTTGACTCCAGAAAAGTGGCAACAACAACAAGATGAAGCTGAGAAGTAGCCTGAAGCGGCCACTTAAATCCGGCTCGAAGAAAATCCAGGCAGTTTCTCTTTTAATGTTGTTATTGTTTCAATTTCTAAATTCCTGATGTGGTTTATATTGCATAAAAGAGGTCATAATAATTGAATATTTAATTGTGCACTTAAATAGGTCTATTATTTTTGGGTGCATTTTACATGGATTCGGGACCCATTTGGTGAGTGTTGACAATATGGGTTATGAAGGCCACCCTCTCTCACTAACCATTACCTCCTTCCCAATTTAAATCGTTTGTTTCGGTTTATTATGTTTGACCGAAATTATGTTTAAATCATTTTATATGAAAATAGTGTAGACTTAAAAAATAAAAATGGAGTGAGTATGAAAAATATAGAACTTAATTGTATAAGTTTTATATTTTTGTAAAAATATTTGGAAACTAAAACTGTGAAAATTCGACACGTTATGCTTAGCAACGGAGTAGGAAAACCTTTAGCCGCTAATGTTGCACCCCTTCTGCCGCCTACACCGCATCCTTTTCATTGCCACTTGATGCTGCACCGTCATCGCACAGTTCCACCATCGCTACTGAACTTCACAATTGGCGTCGTTGATTTTTTCCGTAAGCACCAACATCACCACTTTCTATCATTATCGTTGACACAACCATCACCATTTGCATTGTTCTTGCCATAGTCACTACATTAACTGTGAATACAATGTCAAAGAAAGATATAATGCTAAACGTGACACTACATAATTTCACATATGACAATATATAATGTCATAGATGGTCATATATAATGTCACATATGTGAATACACAGTGACACACAAAGATATAATGTCAAACCTGAGTACCTGACCCAATGCCCTACATGATTGCCAGCACCATTACCCTTTTCGCGGCCACCATTGGACGGATAGATGACAAACCTTCCCCAATGTTGGTGGATGCTCGTTTTTCCGACACCAAATCGTCTTCCCAAAGCATCCAAACAAAGTCAAGAAAAAGTAAATTCAACTAAAGATTGAGAGAGAAATGACTCGCTTTGAAATCAAGGCTTTGAAGCAAATAAACGGAGGTGGGGCCGGGGATGGCGCTGCAATTGTGCGGCGGCGGCGATCATGAGATAGATTTGAGACAGGTGTGGCGACATATCTTATAGGGGTGGGGGTGTATGGCAGCGGCGATACGTTTGGGAAGTGGAAGCTGCTATGGCGCTGTAATTGGGAAGCGGCATCGGCGGTGATTATAATGTATTGAATAAGGGTGTGGGCAGCTAGCGGTAGAAAAGGGATGGCCGTTAGACTAGAACCGGGAAAAGATTCTAGGAGCTGTAGAGAAGGTGATGAGGCGCATGAATGTTTTTATATTTTAATAAATTTGGTCTTATTTAAAAGAATTTAAGTTTGGGATATTTTGGAGATAGATTATATATATGTTTTGTTCATATTTAGGAATTTTTTTTGTATAAACGAAAGAATTAAACAAAGAGAAAAGAAACACAACTATTTTGTTCGTTTTTTCCTTTCCTGTCGGCCGATCCAAACAAATTTTAAAAAAACAGTAAAAAACAATGAAATAAAAAAAGTATATATGGAGAAATTATAAGTTAAGACTTAACATTATACTCCCTTCTGTTAGTTTCATGCTGTTGGCTAATCTTTTGGCAAAATAGAATCCCATATTTGTTAGGTGTTTTACTAGATAGAAACCTCTATTTGTTAGGAGATGTTTATTTTATTTAGACTTCTAGAGCTGCTGCAGTTTTCGAGATTGACACAAAAGATGCTACAACACAATACTGCAACACAGTGTGCGGGATCAGAGGTCTGAGCACGGGATTTTAAGCCCGAAAGGAGAGGTTTATTTTATTTAGACTTCTAGAGCTGCTGCAGTTTTCGAGGTTGACACAGAAGATGCTACAACACAATGCTGCAACACAGTGTGCGGGATCAGAGGTCTGAGCACGGGATTTTAAGCTGCAATCTGAATTAGAGACCTACTGGGATTGTGATTACATGATAATAACTCCAGCAGTAAATGCTAAGGAATCACAACACTTTAGGTTACTTGTAGATCAAGATTAAGGAAGTTGAGTTCAAGCCAACTTCTACTATCCTATTTCTACTAGGATTGTATTAAGAGAAGCCTATAAAAATGCAGCAGGTCCCTGGAAATTACTTGGAGCGATTTAGAGGGAAAACAAAGAATATACGCTGATGTAAAGCATTCCCGTCGCGTCCTGGAGCGTCCCATGCGTGAAGAAGGTTACGATCTACATGAAGGAGGAGATCTTCAATGCCAACCAGATCGTGACGTCCAGGAGATGAACCAGAACTTAAGGAGAGGGCTGCTAACACGTTTGTCCTCGTGATCTCGGTGGAGATGTGATAGCCGAAGCGGATCTGAACAGAGTTCGGGTTAGAAATCCTAGATTAGAAGTTTTGTCATAACAATTCGGAGAAGTGTGTCTCATCATGTTGTTATGTACCGGTGTAACTTGCATCTAGTGATTTAGTGGAGGGCTATTACACGGACGTGGGCACCGCAGATTAGGAGAGTTCTCCGAACTGCGTAAACATATTTGGTGTTCCTTTTTACGCATTTTATAGTTACAGTATTCTGCCCAGTAGGCGCTGTAACACCCTCTGCATCATCTGCTTCTGTGTGTACTTGTGAAGAAGAGATGTGTTATAGCACTCGGTCTGTCATTTGTTACTGTGACAGTGCTGCAGTATCTTCACTGCAGCATAGTGGATTGATTTGTTTGCATAGCTCTTAATTGGTGATTTCCGCTGCGCCTCCACGAACTTATACCTTCCTTTTCCAAAGCAGTTTCTCTTACATTTTTTTGTTTGCAACAAACACTTTCACTATGATAAAAATGATTAATATATTCAAATTAGGTTATTGCAATATACTTCATTAATTTTACATTGATATAATAAGTTATTTAAATAAGTTTTCTCTTTTTTCTTTGACCCTTAAACATAATTTGAAAGTCAAATTATGAAATTAAATTTTACAGAAGTCAAAACAGGAACTGTTTAACTTGATGAACAAAAACAAAGTATGAAAAATAGTTTAACTAAGGTTGTTGTTTGACTTTCCGTACAAAGGAAAAAAGGTACTCCCTCCACCTAAAAAAGATCTAGAATGTTGTGGGTAGAAGTGTTTTATAGGGTGCGCAAAAAACAACATAAGTTTCATATATACTCCCTCTGTCCCAAAAAGATCTACCCATTTAATTTTTATGCATCCCATAAACCACTTCTACCCACAATAAAGGGTAATTGGGTAAATATGGCAAATTTTAGACACTTTAGATGTAGGTAGGAATGTTTTATGGGATGCGCAAAAAATGAAACGAGTAGATCTTTTTGGGACAGAGGAAGTATATATAGTAGATACTGTAAATAACTTGGGGAAGAAAACTTGAATGTTGTGGTTAAAGTATTACAATTAATAAATTAATTAATAAATACAAGGTTGTTTATTACATTTGTGGAAAGGGGCCCAACATTAATTAAGTTGATAAATAAATAGAAATTGTAATTTTTTTTATGATTGATAAATGTTCTTGTGATGGTTGGTTAATAATATAAAAGGTACGAATTTGTACACCAAAAATGCTGGAGGTACACCATTTGATGTATCCTATTTGTACCATGTTCTATCCCCACCATACAAAAGTAAGAGAGAAAAAAAGAGGGTGAAGATGCATAGTGTACAAATGGGGTACACTAAGGGTCTGTTCCGTAGGACTTATTTTTTCTACTTATTACTTATTCTTATTAAAATCAGATCAGATCAGACCTAATCAGATCAGATCAGATCCAATCAGATTAGATCAGATTCAATCAGATCAGATCAGATTCAATCAGATCAGATCAGATCCAATCAGATCAGACCAGATCAAATCAGATCAGATCCAATCAGATCAGATTAGATCCAATCAGATGATTTAGATCAGACCAGATCCAATCAGATCAGATCAGATCAAATCCAATAATATCAAATCAAGAAAAAATGTAAAAAATAATATTTATATTTTTCAAGGATTAAATAATAATTACTAGTATTTGATTAAATCAAATTACTTTATTTAAAACTACACACATCTAAATCTTAATTAATGTTATAATTTTAATTGTTATTGTTGTTGTTATATTATTATTGTTATTATTGTTGTTGTTGTTGTTGTTGTTGTTATATTATTATTATTATTATTATTATTATTATTATTATTATATTTCAACTACAAACTATCATTCTTAATAATTGCTTAGCTTGTAAAATAGGAATGATGCATGAAAGCAATGTTAAAGCTTAAAAAGTTGTATTTTTCATACTTTAAAAAGAGTTATTTTAAAATACTTGTTTATAAAATAATTATAAAAAACTTAGTTTTCAAAACCATAAATATTTTATACTTAAAAATACTTACTTTTAAACTATAAGATGGTATAATATACACAAGAGTGAGTTTATGACAAAATTGATAGAGGTGAAAGGGATATTAGTGTTTAAAATTTTATATGATCTTTAATTTGTAACATGAAATATATTATTATGTAATATGCATATAGATTGTGATACTTTTGTAGAATAGCATCAATATTTTCTAATATTTGGTTATTTTAATACCGATTATTTAGTTTTCAAAAAAATTAAAAAAATAGTGATATCGAAAAGATGTTTAATATTTAAAAAAAATTTAAATATATAATGATTAGCTGATTTTCTTATTTTACTTTTTTATGTATATGTGAATTGTAGTACATTAAAACTATTAAATTTTGTAATAACTTTAAGTTTAATTTAAATCAAATTTAAACTCATTTGCACCAAATCTAATTAGGAAAAATCATATTCAATCAGATCAGATCAGATCCAATCAGATCAGATCAGATTCAATCAAACCAGATCAAACCCAATCAGATCATATCAGACCCAATCAGATCAGATCAGATCAGAACTTCAAAAATTCAGATCAGATTCAATCAGATCGGAACAGAGCCTAAGTGGTGTACCCCTAACATTCCTCTTTGTACACTTTATGGTTGTTTTATGATTGATAAATGTTCTTGTCATGCTTGGTTAATAACATAAAAGGTATAAAGGTATGAATTTGTACACTTTTGGTACTCAAATGATGTTTATTGTTTCATGCACCGAAAGGGTACATCGACCGGTATATAATTTTGAAATGATTTATGTTTGAAGACATAAAGAGTGGTTTATATATATATATATATATATATATATATATATATATATATATATATATATATATATATATATATATATATATGACCATACTAGGATTAACCAAATAGTTAGTGGACGAAGTAAAAACTATTTTAATATTTATTTT